TTGCTGCTGTTGTGCTTGTTGCTTTTGCTGCTGCTGCTGCTGCTGCTACTGTCGCTGCTGCCTGCTGGTCGCTGCTGCCTGCTGCCGCGCGCAGCTAGCGGTGTGAAGGCAGCCAGCGGCCTGCAGGAAGCTGCGAGCTTGCTCTCGTCAAACGCAGCTTCTCTGCTTCCTTTAGAGCCCCGTAGCTTCCTTTCCCCCCGTAGAGCCGGCGGCGGCGGGAGAGGCGGGACTCGGTGTAGCGATGCGGCGTGGATGAAGCTCATCGATGATTAAGCCGCAGGCGTTCCACTCACGCCACGCACGCGCCGACGCACACGACCACACACAGTACGCGCGCACACACACACACGCAAAACCTTTACACGGCCTATTAGTCTCGAAATAGATACATTTACAGCCGTCAGAGCGCCCATCTGTTTCGTAGACTGTCGCCGCACGTCTCCGCGTGCATGTGGGGTAAGCGGATATAGATGGCCTCACGATGCGAGCATTACATTTTATTTATAATTTATATTTATTATTGGCAGACGCCTGCATCCTCTCCCAGTACTTCTGCAGCAGACGCGGCTACCGACTACGTCATCAGACTACAAGCAGACGAGAGAGAAAACACGCAGACTCCCGCTGCCAACACTAGAGCAGCAGCAGCAGCGACCTCAGCGCCATCTAGGAGTATAACGACAGACCGCCCGGCGTCTGCCAGCGAAGACGAGAGCAGACGGTGCTGCCACACGACGGACACTCGAGAAAACAAAATGGACGCCAGAGTAGCGTACGCGTCGTGCGTGCTTTTGATCGTGTTGTGTGCGGCGAGCAGCAAGTGCGCCACCCAGCAGCAGAACCTCGCAAGCTTGTGCAGGGGGCAGGTAAGACGATGTGGCCTCCGCCGCCATCTTTAAAATCCTAACAGCATTCGCACACCGTAGGCATTAGCACGTAAAACTTTTACTCAAATGACGTAAAACGCACTCAAACAACGCTATCAAAGGCGACCGAATCACGATCACGTTCAACGAGGTAATATAACGCAATCACACACACGCGCCATTAGTTACGTGAGAATGGAACAGAGAAAAAAAAGTTTAGAAATAACGAACCCGCGAGAAACAATCACGTTCAAACGCGTTCGAAAGTAAGTCGGTAATGACGTCGACGCCGCGTCACTAGCGACGTGATGTGGCCTCGCAGCCTAATCTGCGGCGGATAGCCAAGCTAGCGCAAAGCGAAAACGCGTTTAATTTAGATTCAACGGCGTTAACGTTCCAACTGCTGCGTACGGCATCTCGGGGTGAATAGGAAGGAGGAGTGAAGGAAGGGAGAGAGGAAGATGGCGGGAGGAAGAGGGAGAGGGAGAGGGAGAGGGAGGGAGGGTGAAAGAGGAGGGAGGAAGAGAGAGAAGAGAGAGAGTTGAGGAGAGGAGGGAGGAATGGAGGAGGGTATAGGAGGAGACGCAACAGGAGAGAGAGAGAGAGAGAGAAGGGAGACGGAGAGTAGGAGAGAGAGGAGAGAGAGAGAGAGAGAGAGAGAGAGAGAAAGGGAGAGAGAGAGAGAGAGAGAGAGAGTGAACAGCGGAAGCGGAGGAAGGGAGGGAGAAATGGATGGAGAAGAGGGCGAGGACGGATGGAGGAGGTGATGCATTGAGGCGAGGGAAGGAGAGAGGAAGGGAAGTTGGTTATTATCTGGGCAAGTGTCTCTGATATGTGTGACATTGTAATGTGCTCACTAATCGCTACGTTTTGACTGCTGTATATATAGCGACCATCTTCTATACTTTCGCCCTGATATATACTGACCGCTGTATATAATCTGCACCCTGTATATATCCTGACACTTGTGTGTATATATCTGGACCGGTATATTAATCTGACCCTGTATATATCTTGAGCCGTGTACTTATATCTGACGCCTGTATATATCTGACCGTGTAATATATCTGACTGCTGGTATATATCTGACCATCTCTATACTTTGCCCGTATATATCTGACCCGCTGCTATATATCTAATCCATCTCTATACTTTGCCCTGTGTATATTCTGACCGTGTATATATCTGACCCTGTATATATCTGACCATCTCTATACTTTTGCCCTGTATATATCTGACCGGTATATATTCTGACCGTGTATATATCCTTGACCGTGATATATCTGACGGCGTGTATATATCTGCACCGTGTATATATCTACCGTGTATATATTCTGACCGTGAGTATATATCTGCGCGTTATATATCTGACCGCTGCGCCATCTTAATGACGTCATGAGAAGACAGCCCGCATCGTCAGCACTCGGTGGGGTCGCAGACTTCTACCATCGTGACAAGATCAGAGCTGAGTGTTACGCGATGCGGACATCGCGCGCCCCAAGGTCGAACCTGGGTACAAGGACGGAGCCGAGATCATCTACCACCCAACATTGCGGGTGAGTAGGCAGCACGCACCCACCTCAGCTGCCCCACCCACTTACATTCACCACTCCATCTATCAAACCCACATGCCGGCCCGTGGAGTAGGCAGCACCTAGCCACCTACGCCCCACCCACTTACATCCACCCCTCCCATTCTATCAACCCAACATTGGCGGTGAGTAGGCCAGCACCAACGCTTCTACGCCGCCACCCTCACACAATCCACCATCCATCTATCAACCCAACATGCGGGTGAGGTAGCAGCACCCCTATCTTACACCCCACCCGACTTACATCCAGCAGCTCCCATCTATCACAACATGCGGGTGAGTAGCAGCACCCACCCACGCTACGTCCCCACCCACTTAATCCAGCAACTCCCATCTATCAACCCAACATGGGGTGAGTAGGCGCACACACACACCTACTCGCCCCAGCCGCTGACACATCACCACTCCACTATGCAATCCACCGCTCACTAAACCCGAGACGTACACCACCCATCCCAACCCTATCGCACCCCACCCCTCCCAACCCGAGACGACACCCAACCGGCCATCCCAACCCAGACCCACCCACCCATTCCAACCTATCGCACCACCCTCCCAACCGAGTACGCCCAACCAACCCTCTCACATCCACCCCTTACAAATCCACCCTTCCCAACATGCGGGTGAAGTAAGTGGCACCACGCTCACCTACGTCCCACGCGCTCTCAAACCCACCCCGTCCAAACTCGCGACCACTCGCCCTCTCTGCACGTTTCAACTCAACGCCACGCACGCACGACCCACCACACGACACTCGCACGCACTGTACGCCACGCACGGCACGGCACGCACGCACGCAACGCACGCACGCACGCACGCACGCACGCTACACCACGCTACACTGCACACGACACAGCCAACACACATCGCACGCACGTGGGAGGGAGCGCACGCCCGCAGTGATCGCCTCCGACCGTGCACGCCACAGCACCCCCCACATACACACAGCCGCCCCGCCATTACGTAACGTATGCCAAAACACGCGCGGTCGTTGTTATGTTCTGCGGCAAAACATTACCCCTTCAATCTCGCGATCACAGCTACATCCTCCTTACGGAGCTTGGGCATGCCGCCAAATCGCACACAGAATTGTGCTGAATTCTTTTGTCTTTTTGACATCGTATGAGCTATAAAGGCGGATGCAACGCCGAGATGCGATGATGAGGAGCGATTTGCTGTGTACACGGGAGATGGGTGGTGGTGGGTGCAAATATATATATATTATATATATATATATATATATATTATATATATATATATATGTATATATATATATATACAATATACATATATAAATATATATACATACATATATAATATATATATATATATATATAGTATATATATATATATCATACAATAACATATATAAATATTATCATACATATATATTTATATATATATACTATATAGTATATCCAAATATATAGCTAATCAGTAGTTAATGAGACAAATACATTTGATCTCATGTATAGACAAAAGACAAAAGACAAAAGACAAAAGACAATTTGTCTCATTAACTCTTGATATATATAATATATATACACGGAGTTACGTCGCAGTGCTAGCAGGCGTAGTGGCGTGCGCCCGGCCACCGGCAGGAAAGCATGCTGATTGAATGACGCACAGCCATTCATCAAATTCGCGTTAGATAGAAATTCTCTTTCTCGGCACAGCGAACGTGTGCGTGCGTGCGTGCGTGCGTACGTGCGTGCGTGCGTGCGTGCGTGCGCGCGTGCGCGCCTTTCCATTGCCACTAAGGCGGCGTGGCCGTCACGGGATAACCACGCTTAGCTTCCCGCCGTAGAACGAAGTTGCGTGTGGGAGTAGAACTTCTTCTTCTTTATTTTCTTCTTCTTCTTTATTTTCTTCTTCTTCTTCCTCCTCTTCTTCTTCTTCTTCTTCTTCTTCTATCTCTTCTCCTCCTCCTCTTCCCGCGCCTGCCGCACCCACCCTCCTCCCTCTCCTCACAGCGTGCGGAGACAGATGCTGGGGGCGGCGGGAACCCTCAGCCGTAACTACGTACGTACGGCCGGCCGGGGCAGAAATTCCATCAGCAGCAAACGACATAAAACGGCGGAACAAATTGAATCGGCGGGAATTGATATTAGAGTCCGCAGCGAACGACTGTACCCCGCGCACGTTTACGTCGTTTGCGAGGACGACGTCGGCAGACGACGTCGGCGGGCAGACGACGTCGGCGGCGGCGGCGGCGGCGGCGGGCGGATATGCGCCGCGGAGGAAACTCATCACGACGACTTTATTTCGTCGGCGCACGCGGCCGAATCCGCGCGGTGAAAAAAACACCAGCGGACGCGGCTGCAGCGCGTGCGATAGCGCTAGCAAGCTAACCCGCTGCTGCTGCTGTTGCTGCTGCTGCTGCTGCTGCTGGTGGTGGTGGTGGTGCTGCTGCTGCTGCTGCTGCGTGGTGGTGGTGGTGGTGGTGGTGCTGCTGCTGCTGGTGGTGGTGGTGGTGGTGGTGGTGGTGCTGCTGCTGCTAGCGGAAAGCGAGCAGCGCAGCAGTAGTAGCTATCACACAGCGAGGTTCAGCACATAGCGAGCAGCAGCTGCAGCGGATCGGCCAGCAGCGGGCGGGGGGCATGGTAGCACACCACACCTCAGCAGCCAGTAGTAGCGGTCGGCAGAGCGCAGCTCAGGCAGCAGCAGGCAGCTAGCGCAGCAGCAGCACCACCACCACGCAGCGCCAGCCACAGGCCAGCAGCAGCACACATCACACCAGCAGCAGGCAGCAGGCACACCACACCACACCAGCAGCCAGCGCTTAGGCCAGCAGCCCCAGCTCCAGCAGCACGCAGCGAGCAGCAACCACACCTACACACAGCGAAGCAGCAGCCCACCAACCACCACACCAGCAGCCAGCAGCAAGACAGCAGCGAGCAGCAGCACCACCACCCACCAGCCAGCAGCAGACAGCAGCACCACCACCACACCACACCGCAGCAGCAGCGACCACCCACACCAGCGCAGCAGCATCAGGCAGCAGCCACCACCACACCACTAGCAGCATCTGAGAGCATGGCAGCAGCGACACTACCACCACACAGCCAGCAGCAGCTAGCAGACAGGCAGCACCACACACACCAGCAGCGAGCAGCGCACACACACACACACACCACAGCAGCAGCGCAGCCACCACCACACCACAGCCCACCACCAGCAGCGCCAGCAGCGGCCAGCAGCACCACATCCACCACCAGCAGCCAGCAGCAGCGAGCACGAGGCAGCAGCCAGCTGTGTTAGCTCTGCTAGCGCAGTATCGCACGGCGCTGCCAGCGCGTCGCTGGTGTGTTTTATCACGCGCGGATTCGGCGCCGTGGCGCCGACGAAATTAAAGTCGTCGGGATGGAGGTTTACTCTCTCCGCGACAGCGCAAGTAGCCCCGCCGCGCCCGGCCGTACTCGCTGCGCGTAGTCGTCTGCCCGCCGACGTCGTCTCTGGCACACGTCGGTCCTCGCAAACGAACAGTGAAAAGTGCGGCGAGAGGTACAGTCGTTCGTAGTCCAACGAACATACTAACTATCCAATCGCGCCGATTCCAATTGTGTTCCGCACGATTTTTATCGTTCCGGTTTCGCATGCATGCATGTTCTGCTGCGAATTTCCTTGCCCGGTTCCGGTCGTACGTACGAGTTACGGGGTCTCTCGTGAGGGTTGCCGCGCCTCCCACTTATTCTGCTGTCAGCACGGCTATAGCTGCAGGAGAAGGGGAGAGGGTGGGTGCCGGCAGTGGCGCCCCGGGAAAGAGGAGGTGAGGAAGAGATAGCGAAGAAGAAACAGAAGAGTGAAGCACATAGTAGAAGAAGGAACAGAAGAAGAGGGTAGGGAAGAAGCAAGTGACGCCAAATAAGAAGAAGAAGAAATAAAGAAGAAGAAGTTCCATACTCCACAGCGAACTTCGTTCTACGGCGGGGAAGCTCAAGCGTGGTTCATCGCCGTACGGCCGACCGCCGGCTTAGTGGCCATGCGAAAAAGGGC